TGGGGCCTGGGGCTGGTGGGAGGGTGGAGGGTCTTGTGTTTAAGCTGGACAGGAGAAAGCATGGGCGGGGCAGGGTGGTGGATTGAGGGAGCAGTGGATGAACTCCGGGGTGGGGTTGGGGGACAGGAAGGGCTGCTGGGCAGCAGGCAGCCCGTGGCCTGGGCACAGAGCCCCCGAGGGGCAGCCGCGCCCAGGCGCCTGGACAGGCTGCCCCGTCAGGAGATCTCATTGCCGAAGACCTCGAGCAGGAGGGGCGTGAGCTTCATGCTGCACTCTGGCTGGAAGGAGAGGCAGCGGTACTGCTTGGAGTGCTCTTCGTTGAGGCTGCGCAGGTCCGCCAGCTTCTGGATCATCTTGGCGTAGAGCAGGTGGCTGCCCGGAGGCGGGTGGCGGCAGCGGATGTAGGTCTGCAGCGTGTTGGACAGGCGGTCCTGGATGGCCTCGATGAGGGCGGCGTCCTGCACCCCTGGACGGTCTGTGGGCACGGGAAGGAGGAGGAGGCACAGGAGCTTGGAGCCAGATCCTCACTGCTCATTGCCCCACCCTACTCCTGTCCACAGACGCCCAGCTCCAGCACCTTCCTCGGCCACCCTTGTGTGGGTGCTTACCTGTGACACACTGTCCTGTCTAAAAGCCCCTCAGAGACTTCCAATGGAGTTTATGCTGAGACCCCAAGGTTTGGGGGGCTGTCCCCACCTCAGTTCTCTCCTCTGTCTCCATGCCTCACCCTCCCCTCAGCACGTTCATAATCCGCCCTCTTTGGCTTCCAAGCTTCCCTTCTGGCCATTTTATCTTTTACTGATCCTTTAGGCTGTGGCTAAGGACTCCTCGTGCCCACATGTGACAGAGCAAAACTGCCCAGAGTTTTCTAGGCTGTAATCTTTACATGGTAGGTCAGTCACCTGGCCTTCCTTTAGCAGACCTGCTGAAACAGTATGAACCTCCAACCTTTAGGTTCACAGCTGGACTCTCAACTAGTAAGCCGCCAAGCCTCTTTCAGGTAGCAGCTTGAAAGATCTTCCAGGAGGACATTCTTGATCATCTTTCTCCCCAACCCCTGGCCTGCATACGGCTGGCTCCCGTCATACTGTCTTAGGGGATCATGCTGTTATTGTGTACCATCTGACTGATAGCATATTTTTAGAGGCAGTAAATCACACAAGAGGAGATTGCTCATTTTTTCTCCCATAGAGCAACTGGTGGATTTGAACACCAGGCCTTTGTGTTGGCAGTGCAATTCCATACCTCTAAGCTACCAGAGCTCACTTCTTTATTTTTAGAAACATCATTATATTAGGAATTAGTTAATGAATTAATTAGCTCATTATTAGTTAACTAATATTTGTTAGTATCTCCTCCTAAATAAGCCTCTATGCTTAGCCCAGTGCCTGGCACTCAGTGGGTTCTCAATAAATGATGGCTGAGTGCATGGACAAGTGAGTGTGTGATGCATGCAGGGTGGGGAGGGAGCTCGTGGACATGCTCTGACCCTTGGCCAGGAAAGCATCCCTGGAGAAGCCACCCTCTTATCCTCCATGCTGAACTCAGTCCAGTTTGAGGCAGGGCTGCCTGCTTTGGGTCACATGTGTAAAACATGTGGACCTTTGCCTTCTCTCCCCCTTTCTACCTTAAGCACTGTAAGGGGTCAAGGGCCTTAGGACTCTGCCTCTAAAATCAGTCCAAACCATCTTTCAGGTACCACCAGGGGTTTGCAACCTCTTCCCGGAAGGGAAAGGCAAATATCAGGAAAGTTCTAGCCAATTCACATAAGAGCAAAGACTGGGGATTGGAAGCACCCAGGACCATCTGTGGCCCGACAGGTGGGATTCTGTGCTAATGCTGTGCAAACCAAGGACAGTGAAGGACCAGTATATATGCCATAAGGGCTGTGCCAGGCCAGTCGAGTGGGTCTCTTCCTCTTGCTCACTCCTCCCTCCAGATTGCCCTACTGGCCCTCAGCACTACTTTGTCCTTCAGACGCCTCACTGCCCAACTCCCCAAGTTTCTTGTCATACCTGGGGATACAATGCAGATGGCCATGAGCAGGACATGCTCCTCCTCATGCAAGTTCAGCTTCTTTAGCCCCACCTGGAACTTGATGAGGGGCTCGATCAGCTCCAGGCTGTGTCCAGCTGTGAGAGAGAATGGCCAGGTGGTGTTGGTAGAGCTGAGAAGCTACCCGTTCACCATGCTCCAGTCCACCTCCAACCGTAACTGGAAGCAACCCTACCTCCCCTCCCTCTTGTTGCTTGTTTCTCCATCTTCCTGTTCTTTACGGGAGAAATGACAGATTATAGCAGGGGTGGAGCCAGAGTCTGGAAGCTGGGGAGGGAGGGACAAGAGGACAGATGTACCTTTGGCTACGTCACTGACACGATACTTGTAGTCCTGGCTGCCGCAGGTCCAGGACATATCGTCCATGGTGAAGGACTGATTGGAGCGCAACATGATGACCTCGATGGCACTTGACTTTAGCAGCACAATCTGGTCCTCAGAGGTGAGGTCTCTGCCAGAGGGGATAAAGAAGGAGCTCAGGCTATTGCTCAAGATCTTCAAGTCACGCAACTTAGTTTGGTGATTTTGTCCACTGTCAAGTCAGAACCGACCCATCGCTGACCCTCAGGTGGGTTTTCAGAGGCACGGGAGAAGACTGCCCATCTTTCTCCAGTGGAGCTGGTGGCCTCAAACTGCGTGCCTTTGGGATTGCAGTGCAGCTTCTTGCTACTAGGACACCAGCACTCACAGGTTAGTGATTTTGGCAGGCATACACCTGCCAAGTGACCGTCAGGTATCATGGCTCTGCCATGGAGGGGTTTGCAGCCTGACTGGCACACACAAAACTACCTCCCTGGATGGAAAACAAGTCGGGACTGTGACCATGTGCCAAGGCATGAAGTGAAACAGCCCAACAGCTGAGGCAAAGGAAATTCAGTGACTTTCCCTGGTCTCCAAGACCCAAGTACTAGCTAGAATTAGAGAAAGAAAGGCAGAGCTAAGTAAGGCCTTGCTCATGAACTTGATGGTCTGTGTACAACATGGCAGGAGTCATCTTCAACAGCTCCCACTTCCCCAGTAGTAAAGGTCTGCCAACTCTGTCTCCAGGACATCTCTGGAGCTCTTACTTCCTCCCCACCCTCATCAGAGCTGCCCTAGTCCAGGGTTCCAGCAGCTATTACAACAGCCTGCTCTCTGGAATCTGGGTCTCTTATTAATTCCTCACTGCTGCCAGAGGGAAACACCATTCCTTTGTTCATAAGCCTCCACTGGCTCTCCACCATCCTGGGAGCAAACCTACACTTTATAATTTAAGTACAGGATGAGTCATCTCCAGCCATCAACCCTCCATTTTAGCACCATCGGAGTGCTCCTCGCTCAGAGGTCGTGCTCACATCAGTGCACCTTTGAGCATGTGACAACTCCAGCCCAGGCACCCTGTCTCTAACACCTTATCTCACTTTTCTGGCCCCACCCAGCATGGTCTCCATTGGAATTCCTCTCCTAATTATCTTCAACACAACTAGAGCCAATCTTTTATGGTTTACTGTATATTGTGTCTGCTTTTAATTTGTCCCTTCCCTCTAGCTTTGTTTTTTATGTGTTTGTCTCTGGCTCTTAACTTAAGCTCTTTGGGGGTCATTGTTGACGGGCACTGGCAAGGAATTGAACTCACCTCTCTGGCATGGAAAGGGGGATTTCTACCACAGAATCCACTAAGGGTCATTGTTGTGTTGTTATGCGCCGTCAAGTCGCTTGCAACTTATAGTCATCCTATGTACAGCAGCCCTAAACCCTGCTCTATCTCTTGCCAATCTTATTGTCTCCGACATACCTATTCCCATTACTCCAGTAACGGAATTAATCCATCTCATTGAGGGTCTTCCTCTCCTGCACTTTCCCTCCACCCTCCCAAGCATGACATCCCTCTCCAAGAACTGATCCCATCTTGCAACATGTCCAAAGTATGTCAGACGGAGTTCAGAATCCTTGCCTCCAAGGAGCAGACTGGCTTCACCCTCTCCAGCACAATCTTGTTTGTTCTCCTAGTAATTCATGGTATATTCAATACTCTTCTCCAGCACCAAAGCTCAAAGGCATCAACTCTCCTTCTATCATCCCTAGTCATGGTCTGTATCAGGTGCACCTTAGTCTCCAGAGTGACACCATTGCCCTTCAGTACTCTGGAGAGGTCCCTAAAAGCAGACTTTCCCATCACAATACATCTTTTAATTTCCTGGCTTCTGGTACCAAGAGTGTTGATTGTAGAGCCAAGCAAACTGAAGCTGTCAACAATCTCAATCTCTTCACCATCTATCATGATACTGCTAATTGGCCCAGCGGTGAGAATCTTTGTTTTCTTGATGTTGAACTTCAAGCAAGCGCTTCAGGTCCTCCTCAGTTTCAGCAAGCAGGGTTGTGTCATTACTATTTTTTAAATCACATTCGTCTTGCCCACAAATTAATAATTGGCTTCTGAGAATCAGTACATGCATGCTGTTTGAGTCAAGAGCTGGGCTTATCCAAATTAGGACAAGGAAAAGGTACAGTCCACAGATCAGTGTGCTTCTGTTCCCTCCACACACACCTTGCTCTTTCTAAATGTGTGTTTCCTTCTAGATCTCCTGAGAGACGGTTTGTCATCCTTTCTATGGCTACAGTGAGACATGTAAAAATTTGAGAAGTGATGAGAGTATTTTATCAACAGGTGACAGGTGATGAGGAATGAAAAGCTTGTAAAATCAGGATAGCCAACAAGGGATGATCAATTGAAAGAACCTTACAACATGATAACATCGGAAGGACCCTTTGGAAATTAAGTGATCCTATTGTTTCTTCAGTATTACTAACACATGGTTCCTCTGCAATTCTTTCAATGTCAGAGAGCTCATGGCTTCTAAACATACGTTTGAGGTTCTTTACTCTTGGGGTTGAAAGTCCCCTCCTTCTCTTGGGCTATAATCCATACAGTGGATGAGTACCCTTCTTCTACTGAGCTACAATCCATTGCTCATATGAGGAACATAAAGTCAAACCTTTCCATCATTAATCAGGGGCCATCCCTTTAACCATCTGAAAAAAAGCAGCCATGTCATCATTACATGATATGTCGTCATGTAAAAGCCATGTCTTTTACAGGATACAGCTGTTGTGAGCTGCTGTCAAGCCGGCTCCCCAGCTCATGGAGACTCCATGCATGAGAGAACAAAAGGCTGCCCCATCTTGCACTACCTCCGTGACTGGTGGCAGGTCTTCACTGGGTAATTTTGAGCTGTGGTGCTGGAGAAGAGTATTGAATATACCATGGACTGATAAGAGAACAAACAGGTTCATCCTGGAGAGAGTGAAGCCAGGCTGCTCCTTGGAGGCAAGGATTCTGAAGCTTTGTCTGACATACTTTGGACATGTTGCAAGGAGGGACCGGACCTTGGAGAGGGGCGTCATGCTTGCGAGGGTGGAGGGACAGTACAGGAGAGGAAGACCCCCTATTGACTCAGTGACTGGGGTAATCAGGTTGGGTGTGTTGGAGAAAATGAAATTGGCACAGGACAGACGAGGGTTTAGGGCTGTTGTACATAGGGTCACTATGAGATGTAGGCGACTCAACAGCACATAACAACAACACTTTTTAAGAAGTAGACCACCAGGACTTTCTCCCTAGTTTTAGACTGGAAACTCCACTGAAACCTATTCACGATCACAGAAACATGGAACCTCCACAGACAGGTGGGTGGGGCCGTGTGTGAGGTTGCACTGGCTTGGAATTGAACCCAGGTCTCCCACATGGAAGGTGAGAATTCCACTAAAGAGACTTCCACTAAGGAGACTGTCTTACTGACATGCTAGGGGCTGCAGTTTAAGTGTTTGGCTGCCAACTTAAAGGTTGGCGGTTTGAAACCATCATCCACTACGTGGGAGAAAACCATGGCAGTCAGTGTAATGGCTCACAGCTTCAGAAATCTTATCGAAAGTTCTTTCTCCTAGACAGTTTTTATGTGTCAGAATTAATTTAATAACAATGGATTTGAATTAGTAACATGGTGTCTAGACAAGTTACCATTCTCATTTTTCTCAGGATGCATAATCTGTAATTTTTAAAAAAAAATTGATACACCATTCCCACTTTTGTTTTAACCTATTATATATGTAAAACTCCAGTTTAGCCCCAGCTGAGGCTCAGGCTGTGGAGGGGGTGAAGATCTAATCAGGGAAGTGGTTCTGTAAAGATCTGGTGGCTTCTGAAGGGATAAAAGAAGATTCTGCTTGGAAGCACGGATGGTGAAGCCATGCTTCGTATATTTTGAGTTTGTGGTTAGAAGGGATCAGTCCTTGGAAAAGGATGTCATATGCTTGGAAAGGTGGAGGGTCAGTGAGAGAGTGGAAGACCCTCAATGACATAGGTTGACACAGTGACTGCAGCAAATGGCTCAAATGTGTCAGAGATGATGAGGGTGGCACAGGAGAGGATGGTGTTCAAATGCATTGTTGATAGAGTCATAGAAGACTCAGTCGCATCCAACAACAACACATGCAAAGCATGTTCATTGTTAAATTTTTTAAAAGGAAAAACAAATACAAATTGCTCATAATCACAGCAGTTTGGTATATGCCCTTCCTATCTTTTCTCTTCAGGAGCTCTGGAGGCCACCAGGCATTCCAAAGGAGAAAAATGGTCAGTTTCCTCTGGTGCAGCTTATAGCCTCAGAAACCCCATGGAGGGTCTGCTAAGTATCAGTTCTGACCCACTGGCAAAGAGTCTGACGTTTTGATTTTTACTCTTTTTTTCTTTCCATGTATCCTCTCTCCTCCCCCTTACATAATGCATTTGAAATAATTCTGTAACCAAATATTCTTTGGCCCAGTTCTTAGTATACTGCACAATGTTACATCAGAATATCATATTGATACTCTATTTAATGTCTCTCATTTGCCTATTTTTTTGACATTTGAGTTGTTTCTAACATTGTCTATTAGAAATAATTCTGTGAGGAGTGTCTTCTACATTACCTTTTTCTCAATGCCCCATTTCAAATCAATGACCACAAAGGAGCACTGCTCTGGGTGATTTGACCTGAAGATATTTTAAAGGAATCACTGGTTATTATCCTTATAAAAGCAAATAAAAATGACACCAAGTGGCTCCCAAGCTTGAGAATACACATCACAGACAGAACGGATAGGGGGTACGGGTGAATTTAAAAGTAATATTAAAGTGATCTGCTCCCACTGTGACAGATGCGGGCTCAGACTCTGTGCCTGTCCCCTGGACAGAGGTAACATGTGTAACTGGGCCAGGCTGCTCTCAGCACCTGTGAGATGCTCTGAAAATGAGTTGCTGTCTGGCCTTCCCCACCCCTAAAGGCTGAGCCCAGCTCCTCCTCTCCTTTGTTCCCACGGCACCTTCTAAGTGAAGCTCTGATGTCTTCCCAGCAACAGTTTGTTTACGTGACTATTTCTTCCATCTGATGCCAAATCCCTAGAGGCCAGGGATTGAGTTCTATTGTTGTTGTT